TTCAGCTAACGATCAATTCTCAGACTCCTCGGACTCTCGGCATTTGCGGGTTTCTTCGTCTTGATTGTCATTTGGCCCCTAAACAACTTTGTAGCTAAGCGTGCGGTGAGGATTCATAAAGGTCTATCGACAGCTCGAGACAAACGTATGGGCGTTCTTAACGAATTAATCAGCGCGGTAAGATGCCATCATCATCCCGCTGTATATCCTCTCATAATTATGTGCCATGTAGGTCAAGTTCATCAAGTTCTTCGCTTGGGAAGATCGTTGGATTCAGCGGGTCATGGATGCCCGCGAGGTCGAGATGCAGTGGATGGTTAAATGTACGCTGCCCTATTACTTCTTGTATACAGTGATAAATACCAATGCACTACGAACTTGCAGCCCGTGTCAATTCGGTGTGCTTCTCTTTGATCTGGTCGACTGCTCCGATATTGGTGTCATGCACCGCGTTCTTCGTGTATGTGATGCGAGGCAACCAGTTGACTGTGGGAACTGCTTTTACGGTATGTACTCTTATCTTTTTCTCCTTATGAAATCTCATTCATTTTGGTATCTCAGGCAATCGCATTGTTCGGCATGATGCGGTAAGCAACCCCATTTTTCCCAATCAACACCGTGGTATTGACATACTGCTCCATTTAGTGCACCTTTGAATGTCATCCCAGCATGGATTGTGCAGATCCTTCAGGTGGGTGATACTTCGGCAATTGTAGAACAAGACCATGGACTAAGCAATTCTCATGACAGACCGGTGTTGCTATCAATCGTATCTCAACCTACTTGGGCGAGGAAGAGGTTGACGAACAAGTATCTACTTTAAAGAAAGGCGCCGTCTCCCCCACAGACCAAATAATCAGTGGACTCGGGCTCGAGCACGGAACCTTCAAGTGGAACGAAGTTGAGGAGAAGAATCAAGAGCAAGAGGCCGGAAAGAAATCTGCCACTCAAAGCAATGCAGGGAACGGCCATGGCGAAGATGATGCCTCTACAGCTGTGGACAGCATGTCGGTCGCAGGGTCTGAGGTGACGGATAGGCGATTCGAGTTGACAGATATTACAGTAACATTCCCTGAAGGCGAGCTGAGCGTGATCACTGGACCTACTGCCAGCGGAAAGACAGCACTCCTAGCAAGTTTCTAGCCTCTCAGTTCTTGATACCTTATTTCTTACATCTGTTACTCACTATAGATGGCTTTGCTAGGCGAAATGACACGTCTTGAAGGTCGTCTCATCATGAGCAAAGACCCGTCGAAAGTAGACCAGTTTGGATTACAGCATTCAATCTCGTATGCTGCACAGTCACCGTGGCTCCGCCATCAATCTATCAAGGACAACATCCTTTTCGGTTACCCCCTGGACGAAGAACGATACCAAGCCGTCGTAGAATGTTGCGCTCTCCAACCTGATCTTGACATGTTGGAAGATGGGGATACCACCGAGATCGGCGCACGGTACGTGTCCATACCTTTCTGGCGTGACTTGGATCTGATCGCATTTATTCCACAGAGGCGTGAGTCTGTCTGGCGGCCAGAAAGCAAGGTATGTTTTGGGTTCTCCGAGCTGTACATTGTCTAGTATTCATTTGTTTCACAGAGTTGCTCTAGCCCGTGCAATCTACGCTGTGCGCCCCCATTTTCCCATCTTCTCGCTCCTTTCTTGACCTTCCCCATAGCCTACAAAATATATCCTGTTGGACGATCCATTGAGTGCGGTGGTAAGATTCCTTTATCTATCTTCCTGTGATCCGGCCTTTACCCGATATATTAATATAGGATAGTCACACTGCTCGGTTTTTATTCGACAAGCTCTTCCGTGGTTCGCTCGTTCAGCACAGAACCGTGGTAAGTTTTTTACACTCCTGAATGTTCCTGCTAGCGATGTAATGCTTTCGATTAGATTCTTGTTACCCATCATGTGGAGCTTGTTTTGCCTGGAACTTATTATCTCGTCCGCATGCTTGACGGTCGAATCGATACGCAAGGCACGGTCAAGGACCTTCGCGCACGTGGTGTCCTTGATGACATTGCTCATGACGAGGCAGTAGAAGTGCACAAGGAAGAACAAGCTATTGAAGTGGCTGAGACGTCCGCCGGAGCCGTCGATGAAGCCGATGCGGAGGGAGACGCTAAGCCTGTTGGGAAGGCGAAGAAACCTAGGAAGCTGATAGAGGAGGAACGTCGGGAGACCGGCAGTGTTAAATGGGCGATCTACAAGACCTATCTAAAAGCATCGTGGGTGTTTATCTCTATAGCCGAATGCATATCGTACTGATAGCTACATCTGGATAAGATCTTATTTGACATGGGTCATCTTGACCATCTTGATAGTATTGAGCCAGCTACTTGGTGTGACGGAAAAATTATGGATCAAGGTCAGGTCTTCTACTTGCATATAGTGCCCTCCATTTGCACTCAATGCAATACTTTTCAGGTGTGGGGCCAGGCATACGGAGATTCCGGCAATACCAATAGTACGATGCATGTTATGAACTCTTTCTTGTCGCCGGAGCACGAGATCCCTCTCGATCATACATACTCGCCGTTGCATATGTCGGCGTCTCAACTCTATCCTTCGCCAACGGCCCGTGCTATGGCCTCTAATTGGCCTCGCGCGCAAGATCATCCCTTCTTCTACATCGGGATCTATGCCGCTATCTCCCTCGGAGCCCCCTTCGTTAGCATAACGGGCGTCATCACCCAGTACACAGGTGCACTTCGTGCATCACGAATATTGTTTAGGCGATTACTGGTTGGGGTGGTCCGTGCAACAATGCGTTGGCATGACGTGACCCCACAAGGTAAGGTCATTGATCTTGGTGAAGACCATCTAACTTACTAAATTGTTTAGGTCGCATGCTTAATCGTTTCAGCAAGGTGCTTTCCGTGTCTGTGCAAAGTTTGCATTTTATTGACTATTGCTATAGGACGTTGAGACTGTAGATTCTTCCTTGGCCGGCACTTTGCAAGCTGTAAACTCGTCTCTAGCAAATTTTGCGGCTTCAGTGGTCACAGTCATGTAAGTCTTCGCGAAAGAAATGCACTCATTCTACTGAACAAAGGCTTTTAGTTTTTTCTTCCCTCTCTTTGTTTTCCCGGCAACCTTCATCGGGTTCATTTATCGGCATCTGGCGATTGGGTACCTCAATACTGGCCGTGATTTACGGAGAATGGAGTCAAACACTCGCAGTCCCATCTTCGCGAACTTCGGAGAGCTGTTGGAAGGCATTGTGACCGTTCGGGCTTTTTCTGCAGAACAACGTTTCCTCGACAATCACAATGCTAAAGTGGATCTCACTACTAAGGTATCACCACTGCAGTAATGCATGAATTCTTTTTCGCTGATCACTATTTAGATGTGGTATACATTCTGGATGACAAACAGATGGCTTCTTTTACATTTTGATGCTCTTGGGGCCTTGGGTGTTCTGACTACGACGTTATTCGCATTATTGGGATATGTCGATGCAGGTCTTGCCGGTGTTTGCATAACATCTGCCATGGCATTCACAAGCAGCGTATACTGGGCTTGTCGCTTCTGGACTGCTCTTGAGTTGGACCTCAAGTATGTCCCTTCTTTCTGGTTTCTAGTAATATCCTGACCCCTCTGCAGCTCGGTAGAACGCGTTGTGGAGTATCTTGATCTCCCTCAGGAGCCCCCGGCTATTATTGAGTCCAATCGCCCTCCGGCCTACTGGCCTTCGTCTTCTAGCTCCAATAAAGATGCGCTTATTTCGGTTGAAAACCTTGTGCTAAAATATGCCCCCGAGCTGCCGCCTGTATTGCACGGTGTGTCCTTCCAGCTCAAGGCGAGGGAGCGAGTCGGATTATTGGGTCGTACGGGTAGTGGCAAGTCAACTCTTGCAATGAGTATCTTACGCTTCGTACGTCAATGTTCTACAACTTCCAGGCTATATCTAACAGGCTTATACTCCAGGTTGATCCGACAAGCGGTCGAATCCTCATTGATGGTATTGATATTTCTACCATCGGTCTGCACGACCTGCGTTCTCGTATTGTGAGTGCAATGGTGGATGTTACGTTTTACTTAGCTGACGGAATTACGTACAGACATTCATTCCCCAGGACGCAACACTATTTTCTGGCACACTTCGCGATAACTTGGACCCTTTCGGTAAGCATTCTTTTCAAATGTAGGGTGGTCTCGCACTAAACTCGGAGCGTTCCGCAGGCGACCACGAAGACAGCGAATGTCTCGATGTACTCTACCGGGTGCACCTGCTTAATGAAAGCCAGCTTGCCTCGCAAAGGACCTCCCGCGAGCCATCACGGCCCGCATCTATTCATGGCGTCGAGCGTGAAGGCACCATCGCCTCTACTTCCAGCGCATCACCGACCAACACGGAAACCGAGTCGCGTACAGTAATCACTCTAGAGACCCAGGTGTCCGCTGGCGGAACAAACTTTTCTCAGGGACAACGGCAATTGATTGCAATGGCTCGTGCTCTTCTCAGGAGGAGTGCGATCATTGTACTCGACGAAGCAACTTCCAGCATTGATTTCGCCACTGATGCGAAGATTCAAGCAACAATCCGCGAAGAGTTTAACGATTCGATGCTTCTCACTGGTGCGTCTCTGCTATCTTGCAACTTCCGATGTCATGGGTCTCCCTTACTGATTTTTTCCTTTCCTTTTCAGTGGCACACCGACTACGCACAGTCATTGACTACGATCGGCTTATAGTCTTGGACAAAGGCGAGCTGGTCGAATTCGATACACCCTGGAACCTCATCCAGAAAGAAGATGGTATCTTTCGCAACATGTGTCTCAAGAGCGGGACGTTTGCAGAGCTGCAGTCTGCTGCTAGGTCAAAGATGGAGGAAACAAAGACTGTTTAGACCCGTTCGTATCTACTTATGTCTCACAGATATAGCTGGTAGCTGGTTATGTTGTACTTAAACGTCGTGACGACGCAATGTCAATCCTATTCGATTACAGCTCTCCGCGGATCTCCGAGAGGTAGTTCGGGAATTCTCCTATGCCCGCCTAGCTCAATCGGATAGAGCGTCAGACTCTTATGACAGCTAGTTGTGGTTTCATCTGAAGGCTGCGAGTTCGACCCTCGCGGTGGGCTAGTTTACTTCTTATTTTGCCTTCAAAACGTATGTTCAACTCAAACTGTAAACATTAAGGCTCCAACCCTTTACTTTACCTTTATACTGATGCCGTAAATAAAGAGAAAGGGTTTTAAATAGTTTATAAACAGTTTATAAAGAGTAAAGAGTAAGTTTACAATTAATACATAACTTTTTTTGTTCTGGGTGGTGCAGAGTTTTCTAGTTGCACTTATAGCGTTATTTTCGAATTTTGCGCACTGATTTCCAAAGATCCTCTAAGTTGTATGCTTAGGACTCTGCGAGCGGCGCTAGCTCGCTAGCTGCATCCATAAGCGCTCGTTTCCCACTGCATTGAATCTGTCTCAGCGATGAGTACACCTTAAGTAACATAAATTGCGGTATAGAGTCGATGATGCTAAGCTATGTGCTTTGATATTGATGTGCGTTGCGACATGCGTGACATGCTTTGTAGCACCCTGTAATAACTCTTTATTTACTCTTTATAAACAGTTTACATCAGATTACACAGCTTTCGTAAATAAAGGTAAACGTAAAGGGTTGGCTCTCTTTATAAAGAGTAAATAATATAAAGGGTTGGAGCCTTAGTAAACATCCTGCTACCTGGGTCCTGGATACACCCGAATTATGATTCACCTGTCCCGCATTTGAAAGAATATGATTCGTTTGTCTCCTAGAATTCTAGATGTGCATGATCCGTGTTCTGGAATAATTACGGCACCCCAGAGGGCCAGATAGAGTATCCGTAGACGGGGACTCTAAGAACGCTTCGCCCCGACCGATGGCCCGCGTTTGAATTAATATATACACAAAGCGTTACACTACATTTCCATTCTTTGCTCTCACAGTCTAAGTCTATTTGAAAGCTCCACTTCTCCCTCGATCCAGCCAAGATAACCAACGATTACATCTAAAACGCCGCCAACGCACCCTCCATACCTGTCCTCACCCCCTTTACCCTCTCCAAATTTACCCTCCTCCTCTCCTCCACCTCCCCCCCAAGCGCATCCTCCCACCACCTCTCTCCCTCTCCCACCTCCTTCCACCCGCCCTTCAAAAATTTCTGGAAAGTCTTGAGGTGACCCTTGGAGACGTCGGGTAGTTGGAGAGATTGGGAACGGGCGAAGGAGGGTGGGGGGTTTGTGAGCGAGTAGCGTGCGGGCGTTTGCATAGGAGACGGCGCCGATGAGGGGGGAGGAGGGAGACGGGAGAAGCCTTCGGCGGCGAGGACGACTGCGGGAGGGACGGTGATCCGACCTATTTTGAAGCAGAGCTCCGAGACGGATATACAATGGACCGTTGCGCCGTCTGGTTCTTCAGAGGGCACGAGTTGCGCGATTTGCTCCGTAGTCAGGCCTAAAGCACCTATATCGTTCCATAATCCTTAGCACCAAGTACGCTGGACTAAAGCAGAAGAACGATATAGTCAGACATAGGAAGGGACGTACCGATTGACGAAGAGTTGGCTGAAACGGCAGGGGTGGACGTGCCGGATATTGAAGGTGTAGCAGGAGTGTGCAACGAGGGGAAACGGGCTGCGTCTCCCGAGGGAATCTCACCGTCCGTGCCCTTGTCTTCCCGTGTCGTCTTTGCGGTTGCTGGAGCCTTGATGACCTTACGGCCCTTGCCTTTCTTGGGAACTGTGACGTAGCGAGTTACGACGTACAGCTACGGGCGATCTTTCAATCAAGGGGGGAAAAGAGAACTTAGAAGAAACGTACCCATTTGTTATCCCATGCAGCGATGGACATGCGGATCTGGTAGTGCGCGAATATCGGGATCTCTTTCATAAACTTGAAGTGCGTAGCTTTGAACGAATCCTATCGTCATTTACACTATTTACAAAACACAGATAACGCGCGCAAGGACTCACCACCAAGAGGCATCCACCCGCCGGCACGGAAGAAAGTGGGGCATATCCTGAGCGCCGCTCGGAACCGGGAGGCGTCCAAGGTCTATCACAGTCATTTTGCATTGTCAGCCAACATAGAAATTGACGAACGTGAGCAGGGAGAACGTACCTTGGGATAGGAAGAGTTGGAGAGGTGCCAGTTGAAATCGCAGTCGTCTGGTCCTGGAATAAGAGCACGCGCCATCAGCGATCAGCAGCACTGGAAGAAATGCTAGTACGGGAACAAATAATCAAGAGGAGAGAAGACGGAAGAAAAAGAATCTACAGCTAGTTCAGAACTCGAGCCTGATTTTCACCTAAACCTTCTTACTACTGAAACTGCTAGTGGGTGGTCATCCAGCGCAAGATACAACGTCCTGAATGTGCCCCGGCTATATGCCACCTAAACGTACAGGATGGGATGAGGTCGTGTGACCTCTTTGTATATGCGGCGGAGTGTCCTATTTTTATGCGCCGGAGATTGAGCGCGTTCGTTGTGCAGTGGAGAATGAAGCTTGCGTGAGGACGAGGTTGGGAACTTGGATGTACGCTTCAGCCTGCCAATCCACCCATTTTCAAGGACCGTCCAGTGTACCGCACCTCCAAATTCGCCATCCGAATCCTTCCCCAACCCCAAAGAAAGTCACAGAAAAAAAAGGGATAGGGATAGCATACGAAGGGAAGTAGGATCGAAACTCACCGGCCCACGCGTCTACACTGACAACAAACTTCGTGGGGTCCTCCCCAACGGGACACAGACTCTGAAGCCATTTCGTCTTGCGTTCGAGCCTCGCTTGTGCAGGCAGAAAAAGGGTGGAAAGCAGGAGGCGGTAGTACCGCGCACGCACTTCAAAGATCGGCGAGAACAGCACCTTGTCTAATGGGACAACCAGTGAGCATATACACAAGTGAGAAACGGGCGAGAGGAGACACACAATGCCACACCAAAGGCCAGGAGCGAAAATTGATCAAGAAGAGGGTAACGGCGAACCACTTGAAGAACGCGGGTGTGCCGCGGAGGAGGATAGTTTTGAGCATCTGCGGCAGAGCAGACAGAGCCTGCTGGACCAAGTCAGATATATGCTGCATCGTATACCTTGCGAAGAGTAAAGAAAAGCGAAAGACCGACCTTGCTATAAACCACATTGCGCGTCATCCTCGCTGACCGTTCCCCGACTCGTGAATATATGCGCCGTTCAGGGACAAATTAATAATGTTATGTCTTCAACTCGCTCGAGCCCTTCCAATCGGAGTATCGGCTCTACGAGTGGGCACAACAGTTGAAAACGCTTGGCCGTCTTACACCGATGTCGATGGAATGTGATTAAATATACGAGCGGTGTAAACAGGGACGAGGTCGTTGGGGACAGCGACCACCCCCAAGGCTAGGACAGCGCTCTCGGGTTCCGGTATTCAGAGTGGCCGGTGCTAGAGATCAAACCGAATGCAACGCAGGTTCGATCCCGGCCTCTTTTATCTCAATCATGGGGTCTTGCATAGTATATACATCTACTAATATTTATCTACCTAGTCTCCTTCTCCACGGAATTCATTAACGGCCCCTTAACATTCTCAACTCCCTGGATCGCCTAATGCGCTTAAATTTCATGGCAGTATCGTCAGGCACATAAGTCACGGTGCTCAGAACATCGAGCAGACCGCCGGGAAACATTGACTCCCTATTTTGAAGTCCTTTAACCACTTCACATAATCCATCTCTGGCTCCATGCCCATCTCAAGCTTCAGAAGACGTCCATTATCCAGCTCATCTAGCCAGACCAAAGCCTTTCCTCAAGCATCCGGTGCTCTTCCACATCGTATTCCTTCGACCTCAGGCGACTGATCTCTTTAGCTGTAGCATTACATACTGCTCCAACCAGCTCGCAGGTTCACGTCCAGGGCATCGTTTGTTTGTGCTGCATTTATTATCCGGAACATGGGAGTAAACCCTAAGCTGTCAAAGGCGCCTTTGATGTAGTCTTTGAGAATACCGTATTGATTGTTCAGTATCTTTTGACGTTCTAGCGATTATAAGCTGGAAGATGGACGACGGTGACTGTGAGTAATCAGAGTTGTCACTGTTTGACGACCCTTCCTAACTTTTACAGAGCCAGCTTCTGATACCCCGCCTCGTCTCTTGCATCCGGCGCGAAGAACATCATGTCTTTCCTCGGTCTACCCCTTGTTAAACAGCGCAAGTTATGGCGTAGCATTATTCTTTATGCTGTAGTGTCCGTCAAACTTCAAGTTTTTACTTCGGGGCAGCGCTCAAGTCTCTTGGAACCTTACATGGAAGCACATCCGACCCACGTCTTTTGGCACCAGAGGGCACTCTACCAAATCACTTCACTTCTCCTCAACTACTATCCCTTCTGTGGTCCATGGTCGGAGTAATTCACACAAATTACGTGCCGATGATGGAGGATATCGAGACTTAGAGGTATGTCCTGGCGTTCGAATCACTTTGACCACTGACCAACGAGATTATCTGCGTCAGACAATAACTAGGAAGACGACGTCAGATGCTGCCAACGGCAAGAGTCGTTCAAACTTCCCTGGATGGCCAGAGGCGGGATTATTTGCAGCCGTCCTGACTCCCTTCCTCGCCAAAACGTACCAGACTCTTTCGGAAGACTCGGACGACAGCGATCCTCCGACACGTGAATCCACACATATATATTCTTCTCTTCATCGTTGCTGCTCTCCAACACCCTGACTCGATTCTCCCGTCCTGTGGATCCGCCTCGAGGAGGGCTTCATGGTGTTAACCTGACTTTTGTGAATCTGAAGGGGCAAATGTTCGCCCTCGGTCCCTCACCACTCCATCCAGTACAAACGTGCTTAGAGCGTTGAACAGGTCATCAGGGAACATTGAGTTCCCACTGAAGCCATTCATCCACTCTGCATAATCCACCTTTGACTGCATGCCCTCGTCACCACCCACAACATCGAGCTTCAGGGGGCGCCCAGCATCCAACTCGTCCAGCCAGATTAAACATTCCTCCGCAAGCCTTTTGTGCTCTTCTACATCGTATTTCTTCAACTTCAGGCAATTGATGGCCTTAGCGGTGTTGTTCCATATTCCCTGCCAATGCGACCGGAGTTCTA